GGCATTTGTTTGTTCGTGGGTACGGTGGGTTCCCCAAACATTGCAAGTCAAATAAACCATATCCAACCTCACACAACCGCGCTGAAGTGCGATACATGACAGGATTTCCCCGATTCCCGACTTGCAATCAGGGAATCCACCACATACCTGCAGGGCACCCCTGCAGGTTATCATGGAGGGTGTTTCAAAAGGCTGGTCCTTTAAAGAGGGTTCTCGGGGTTCCACGTTGCTCTGGGCCCCGACTTGCAATTCCCCTTCAGGTCGTGGCGAAGTTGGAGGAGATCCGCAAGACGAAGGGCGTGACCGCGCGGCCGGTGAGCGACGAGGAGATCGTGGAGCGCCTCTTCTTCCCTCTCATCAACGAGGGCTTCAAGATTTTGGAGGCCGCGGGCCCTTCAAACCCCGGTGGAAAATAGAGAGAACCAAGGGTTCTGAGCGGCTTTTTTTGCGTGACGTGCATAAACCCTGGTTTGGGGGTTGGGGTTTGCCCTTGAACCCGACCATTTTAGTTTACATGAGGGATCCCATTGTGTTGCAACCACAAAGATCCCAAGCCTTGGAACTGGCACTTCCAGTTGCTTAAGAATATGTGTTCTTTCTCCCTGTTGGGTCTAGGGAATCTATCACAGAAGAAAGAGTCCCTGGGCCTACACTTGCACTAACCTGTCTCTAAAGGGATCGGTTTCCAACGGGTGCCTTCAGACTAGCCCAAACAAGTTCAAGGGTTTCCGCGAAATTCACACCCCAAGCCCATCTTGGTAGAGCAAGAAGTCTGGCTGCGCCGAACTTGTCGGGCTTAACGCGCACCGCCCTGAAATCAGCAAGCAGGGATCGGGCGAGCTTATGGACTTTGGCCATGATTCTTGATTCTTGATTCTTGATCCACAGCCCGCACACCTACCTCAAGAGAGGTTAAGTGAGGGGCGCAGTGGGCTTGCCCAAGCGAAACACGCAACATAATGGTCATTGTATAGCTCAAATGACGTACAATGACGTGGGCAGTGATGAAGACTTGCTTTGGTGGATCCCGCCAAAGTGAATGATGTTTGCCTTGACATGTTTGCAGTGTGTCATAGTCGGCTGATTGTTTGCCATTGCCACAAAAGCGGTGACACTCGATACCCTAGCACTCGATGCAGGTCTGGATCTTTTCCTGACCTAGGGATACAGTTGCTTTCCTCCCAGTATATCATCCTTTGCGTTTGTTGGAATGACCATGAGTCTCCTTACCACCCGCACGTGTAGCCTTACTGGAGGTGGCAAGTGAACCAGATCTGAAGCATGAGCCAGACCGAGCATTGAAGTGCACAGACTCCTTTTGGAAGTCTACTGTCCTTCCACAAGGGAAGAGACTGTGCACTTGATTTCTTTTTGGTGCATTTTGCTTGGATGTTAGGACTTTCACTTTTTGCCAACTAACGGGTTTTCCATCAATCCTCTAAAAGTTAAACCTTTAGTAGGAGAGCAGAAAGCAACCGAGTTCTGTTTGTGGTCGGACGTCCTATTCTATTGCCATGGCGAAATCGAAAGAGTTTGACGCTCACTTCAGCTTCCGTTTTTTTTTCTTCCTGATTTCGGGCGCACGTCCGGCTCCAGGAAGGCTATGTGGCACGATCTTCGGACGTTGACATCGCGCCCGGGCGGCAAGCAAGTGGATTTGTACCCCCAAACCAAACAGTGGCTTTGGCATTTGGGGGTGAGAGGAATGTCTTGTCCAGCTACGCATGGATCGAGGAGGTGCCACTTCAGTTGCGCATCAATGGTAGAAGGCGGATCGAAAGCAGCACGGCGTGCTGCCGTGGGCATTGAGGCGGCAATCACCCAGTTTTCGCGAAGTATTGGGACACAGACTTCTCCGCGCGGTATTTCATCTTGCTTTGCTTTCAGCCGAACTCCCTGACGCGTGAGAGATCGTGGGCTATGCGTAAGGATCCATAGTTCTGCCTGGCCTTCCAGGGACGGGACGGGATTCCTTGCCAACACCAGAGCCAAGCAGAGTCTGTGCGATGGCAAGCATAATTAGAGCCCAGATGTGGCATACATCAAAAACTGGTATCCTGGCAAATTGTTACCTCCATTCTCCTTGCTTTGCCAGACAGCCACCCCTTCAAAGCCGCTTTTCAGCGCCAACAAGCGCCGTAAAAGACACAAACTGCAAGCTGTGCCAAGGGGGTTCTCAAAGTATCCACTTGTCACCTCACACAGCTGTACTCCGATGTGTAAACACAAGTTGTTTGTGTGTGTGTGTGTGTGTGTGAGTGAGCATGTGTCACGTTGTGTCACAACCATCGGTTTGGTTTCTTGATGATTTGATCACGAACTTTGCGGGCAAGGATGATGGCGCCACCAAAATGTGAACCGCAGACCCCAGAGGGACAGATCCTAATTTTTCCCATGTCCTGTAGTTGGCAACTGGCCGTTTCTTCTTTGAGATCATATCAGTGACTCCCAAAGCGAATCGACAAGTCACGAAAGCTCAACCTTGAATTTTCGGAATGGTGAGGCAAGTGAGACACAGCCAACCTAGTGTTTTTCAACATGTTGGGCCCCCCTTGCATGTTCTTCAGAGCGAACCAAGGGGACACCAAACATTTTCGGGGGACCCCTAGGTTGCGAAACACGCTCTTAAGGGGGATCCCACTTTTTGTTTTAAGCCAAAGCGGCCCGCACCTGTTTGGAGATAGCCCCAATGAGCCATGGGTTCTTCTGGCTCAGGTGTACATCTACGGCTACGGCTTCCCGCCCTCCAAGGGCGGTCCCATGTTCTTCGCGGAGAACTACGTGGGATTCAAGAAGAGCCTCCGACAGTCAGGGCGCTTTTTCTGGGGTTGGTTTCAGGGCCATTTAATGGAAACCCCCCATTTCAGACAAACTCGGGTTGGGATGAGGTTTGACCTCGTGCCTTCTGTTTTTGTTGAGGGCGGGAACAAGCTATGTTTTTGGCTCCTCCTGTCGAAGTTAGTTTGCGTTTACCGAGTACTCACCACAATCAAGCATGTAAATTTTCATGTGGGGCACTAATCTGAGGTGCGTTTAAAGATGTCAAATATTCACACGGTGGTGTTTGGTGGATCGTATTGAGCTCGTAATCATGACAGCTTTAAGCTCGGAAAGGATCACCGAATTGCACTTTTCAGATGCTCAACGTGCAGGCTTCATTGCGCTTCTTGATCGTCTTGGCTGGATCCCCTGTTCTACTTGTTGTGTCTTAACCTTCCAAGTTGGCTGCATTTGGCTGCGCTGGACCAACAATGACACAACGTTGTGTGCAGACATGCACGCAGTCAAGCTCCAATTTGCCTGTGCTACCGCGAGCTACCGCAAATTCAAGATGGTAAAGTTGGATGTGCGTGCTCGTGTCACTCCAACGTAGGCTTGCCGTGATGCAGACATGTTTCACAAAGCTAGCTCTCCTGCCACCAGTGTGCAACATGTAAGTTGGAAGAATCCCATGGTCGTTTCAAAATGAACATCCCTGGCGCTTATGTTTGTTTGGACATTGTTTGTCTCATTGAAAGTATTGGCTAGGGGAAGCCATCAAAACTCACAATGACCTGAAATTGAAATTAGTGCTAATTCCGACTTTTTTCGGAGGGTGCAGGGGCCTGCCCTTAAAACAGTCGGTAGCGCTACCGACTGCTGTAAGCAACCCCCTGATTATGTTAAATGCACTTTGGACTACCACCAAAACTGCTTAAAACAATCAAACAAGTCGCCCCGTTGATCTCAGGGGGTTGCTTACAGCAGTCGGTAGCGCTACCGACTGTTTTAAGGGCAGGCCCCTGGGGGGCCTGCCCTTAAAACAGTGATTATCTTAAATGCACCATGCGTTGAGGCCAAGATGGTACGTGTTACGTGATGATTAAAACAGTCTGCTTTCTTGAGAGAGTGTTTTAAGCCGTCGGAAGAATCAGCGCCAAACAATCAGGAAAGTCTTCGATGGGCCTTGCTGTCGGGTCATGGTCTAAGGAGTGCAGGGCCAAATGTTTGGCTTCACTTCTAGATTCAGACTGGGCATAGTGGTTCAAAAACTCAACAATTGGAGAGGGACACCTCTGCTTCAGCCCACTGGCATGCGACACAGAGTCTACACATAGCGCGGCAGGGCTGCCTGAGCAGTAACACCCAAAATGAAAGGTTTCCGTAGTTTCCTTACAATGCCATGTTTATCCGGTTGGCTGTGCTGACAGAACAGCGGCATGAGCTACAAGAGCAACAGTTGTCGACTCAGATTTCTTTAGATCAAGGGCGCAGATGAACACGCATTGGCTTGATGATTACCATCACATGCAGACAGGACCAGACTTGCTGCCAATCTTCAGATCTGCTGCAATAGAACTAGACCACGGTTGGCCCGAAAGCAGAACATCGCAAGCGAGGTCGGCCCAACCCTGCAGGATGCGTTCTTTTTCCCTACACTTCGTGAAGCAAGCGCGAGACAGCACCAGGCAAGGTGCTCTGCGCAAACTGGTCGGTGCAAGTTGGTCTGCGCAAGTTGCTCTACGCAAGTTGCACTGTGCAAGTTGCTCTGCGCAAGTTGCTCCGCGCAAGTTGCTCCGGCAAGTTGGTCCCTGCAAGTGGCTCCCTGCAAGTTGCTCTGTGCAAATTGCGCTCCCTGCAAGTTGCTCTGTGCAAGCTGCTCTGTGCAAGTTGCTCTGTGCAAGTTGCTCTGCGTAAGTTGCTCTGCGCAAGTTGCTCTAGGCAAGGCGCTCTGCGCAAACTGGTCGGTGCAAGTTGGTCTGCGCAAGTTGCTCTGTGCAACTTGCTCTGCGCAAGTTGCTCTGCGCAAGTTGCTTTAAAATGCAAGTTGCATCTTGCGACGCCCGCCCGCGGACCAGGGAGGAATCGAACCCGCGACCCGCCGGTTCCGGGAGCAGGCGCGCGAACCACGAGACAACTCCCGAGGACCAGTTCGAACAACAAAAGTCGCAAAAAACCTTGAGTTTTTGCACCTCGACCACGCCGATTCCCGCAGAGGGTTGCGCGAGCACCGCAGAAATCGCAAAAAACCATGGGTTTTTGCACCTCGACCACGCCGATCCCCGCAGAGGGTCGCGCGAGCAGGTTAGAAATCGCAAAAAACCATGGGTTTTTGCACCTCGACCACGCCGATCCCCGCAGAGGGTCGCGCGAGCAGGTTAGAAATCGCAAAAAACCATGGGTTTTTGCACCTCGACCACGCCGATCCCCGCAGAGGGTCGATTTTCGTGTAGTGTCGTCGGCACTACCCCGCCGCCCTAAGAAGAGATTTTAACTCCTCGCAAGTCAATTGCACTTGACTCCTTGCACTTGCAACTTGCACTTGACTCCTTGCTTGTTTCAAGGAGTCATTGCAAGGAGTCATTGCAAGGAGTCATTGCAAGGAGTCATTGCAAGGAGTCATGGCAAGGAGTCATTGCAAGGAGTTGCAAGGAGTCATTGCAAGGAGTCATTGCAAGGAGTCATTGCAAGGAGTCATTGCAAGGAGTCATGAGAGCCATTGCAAGTTGCAAGGAGCCAAGTGCATGGAGTCAAGTGCAAGTCGCAAGTGCACGGAGTTAAGTGCAAGTTGCAAGTGCAAGGAGCCAAGTGCAAGGAGCCAAGTGCAAGGAGCCAAGTGCAAGTCAAGTGCAAGTTGCAAGTGCATGGAGTCAAGTGCAAGTTGCAAGTGCATGGAGTCAAGTGCAAGTTGCAAGTGCAAGGAGTCAAGTGCAAGTTGCAATCCTTGCCATGACTCCTTGCAATGACTCCTTGCAATGACTCCTTGCAATGACTCCTTGCAATGACTCCTTGCAATGACTCCTTGCAATGACTCCTTGCAATGACTCCTTGCAATGACTCCTTGCAATGACTCCTTGCAATGACTCCTTGCAATGACTCCTTGCAATGACTCCTTGCATGATGACTCCTTGCAATGACTCCTTGCAATGACTCCTTGCAATGACTCCTTGCAATGACTCCTTGCAATGACTCCTTGCAATGACTCCTTGCATTGACTTTCATGATGATGATTCCTTGCAATGACACCTTGTAATGACTCTCATGAGAACAACTCAAGTGAACCCAGCGGAAGAACCCTTCGCCATGCTTTCGGGAAAAACCACCCAATGAACACGATGAGCAGTGATTACACGACTTTCTTAAATGCACCCCAGTAATTACTGTAGAATTCCTACCCCCTTAAAAATGGAATTGGGGGAGGGGGGTGACCCCTTAAATTCCATTTATGGTTCCATTTTCCCTTTTATGGGGACGACTAGATAAATGGAATTGGGGGACCCCGCCCCCTCCACCTTAAGGTAGGGGGAATGCGGTAGATATTGGATTTGAACCCGATGCGATTCCTCACAGCCTTAGACTTAGGATCTTGGAGAAGCTGAAGATCTATGGCGCGCAGGCGAAGGAGCGGTTCACCAAGAACCCGCACCTCGCGGGCAGATCTTGGGAGCCATTTGAGGTTTGATGACAGCTCGCAGTAGTCCACTTTTCACTATTTAAGATTTCCTGCGTGTGCTTGTAAGGGTCTTTGAGTCTTTTCACAATTTGAGTGATTCGAGGTTGGGTCATTTCCAGCAGTCAACTTAAGGGGTTGATTCCACACTGTGTTCACCCGTTGGTCTCTGAAGCCGCATTGTTGCCAAGTTGCTCATCGCCCAACAACATGGTGCCCACAAAAGGAATTGTCGAGAAGGAGACTGCTCCAGAAACGGGCCGCTTTTTGGGGATCCATGCTGAATCTTCAGAGATGTTCTCAAGGGACGAGTGGTTCGGGACATTGGGTGCACAAGTCACTCAATGTCAACTACAAAAGCCTCATAGATTTCTACATGGGTCCCCCCAAATCCAACCCCCCAAATCCCCATATTTATATAAGCACAAAATAGTGGGAGGAGTCAGAGGCACGCTTCAGGATTCTGATTGTCAGACATGCGCACAATGCTGTCGCCGCTCTCTTGTGCTTGGTTTAGGGTTCAAGCCGAGTTTTTTGCAAATTTGCTTATTTTGTGCTTATTAAAGCTTATTAAAGCTTATTAAAGTTTATTAAACTTTATTTAAGCTTATTTTGTGCTTAATTTGTGCTTATGTTGCTGTTATTTTCTTATTTTGCCATTATTTTGCCCTTATGTTGCCCTTATTTTGTGCTTATTTTCTTATGTTGCCCTTATTTTGCCCTTATGTTGCTCTTATTTCGCCCTTATTAAAGTTTAATAACCTTTAATAACCTTTAATAAACTTTAATAAGGGCAAAATAGGAAGAACCTGTATAACCCCCTGAATCCCATGAAAATTGTGGATTTGGGGGGTGAATCTGGTGGGACCCCTTTAAAAATCTATGAAAGCCAGGGGCCTTCATCTTATGGCCATTTTATGCTAAGCGACCTCACTTGCCTCCCATATATTAGGAGGGACACAGTTTTCCGACTTTTCCGGAACCCGTCTGGGAACCTCGATGAAGACTCTGCAAGCCTTTCTAAGAGCCGGGGGGGAGGTCTTTGGTCCAAGCGCCGTAGCGATGGAGGGAGTGCCAACGAGAACTGAATGCCACTCCACGGATTATCACTAAATCCAAAAGGGGGGTCCCAAAAAGCAAGTTTGTTCTGGAATCATACTGTGGATGGACGAACTTCCTGCACCACCTAAAAAAAAAACCTGGAACCATGATTCCCCTGTAAATACCAACGAACAATTATTTCCCATTGTTTCTAAATGGTGCAGGATTTCGTCCATCCACAGTATTAATTTAAACCTGCGTAACCCTGTGTCTTTGTTTTGAGCCACACCCGCATAGCTTAATTTGGGTTAAAGCCACCTGGGCGTGCTAAGTTGGACCAACACCCAGGGATGAATCCACAGGCTTGGGTGGCGTGACTCTCGCGCTTGGAAACTTGAATGGACATTCTATACCTACAATGCTGGACCCATACCTCTGTTGGAGGTCCAAGGGCCTTCGCAAAGGCGGGCAACTACAACAGGTCTTTTGCTAGCGCAAGAACATGGTCGATCACGGCCTTTAGCGTGCCTTTTCCGTTTCACTAGCTGGTGGTGGGAATGGAGCCAAGGAGCTGGGGGTAGCCAAATTTGCTTCCTGGAGCCCCGAAAGGCTCTTTTTTTGTGGTCAAAAGGCTTGCCTTTCGGGGCTCCAGGTTTCAAAGAGGGAGCTCTTCGACAGGGACTTCTGTGAGAACATGGGTTGACCAAAACTGGTTTCCCTGGATCCCACGTTCGGTGAACCCGGAAACCGGCCGAACACCGCGGGGACCGAGGGGTTGGCCGAGCCGACGCATCGAGGCACTATCTGCCCATCGACTACTTCGAGCCCTCGAAGCTGCTGGAGGCCTGCGTCGCCAAGGAGGGCACCAAGGTCTTCCCCGGCCAGACCCTGATCGACGTGGTGCTCAAGGAGCAACCAACCGGGAACAAAAGGACAAAGCATCGAGGAAAACAACAAACAAACAAAACGATCAACATATTTGTTTTTCTTAAAAGAACAAAACAACATGTGTCGGTGTTAAATCAATTTGAGGTTGACGCCCCATGTTCAAGCGACATCGTCAAATCAACTTTGGAGTTTGATTCATTTTGTCTGTTCAGCACTTGTCTTTTCAAAGACGGGTTGCTTACATATGTTATTTGATTTGTGGAAAGAAGGAACACGTTAGACAATTGTGGACACAAACCCCAGGCCTTCATCATGTCCACAAAAAGGCTCCCTTTTCATTGCAACCTCAGCCCAAACCAGGAATTACGTCTTCAGAAGGCGCCCTTGCACATCGTGGACTCACTATCAGGGGGACTCTCTCATTACCAGTTGTATTGGGGTGTTTGCACAAAACAGCAGTTGCAACGGCAACCCAAAAAAATGGCCTATGAATTCTATCCAAAAAGAGCACATTGAGGAGCGCAGGCTGGGGTGGGCTTGTGAAGAACCGATGCCTCTTCGCATTCAAATGCTCCCAAATACGCTCAGACATCACCTGCTCTGCTGATCCAGCCATAGAGTTATGGCCAAGAACAAGCACCAAGTGGAACATCTGAACAGGTGACTTTAATCCTAGTTTCCGAGAACCAGATTGCCGGCAAATGAGGCGGTTGTTTTTGGCTCATCATTCCGGGCAGCCCCAGTGGATCGAATGGCAGTGCTCGAGGGCTAGTGTCAGACTAGTTGTTGAGTGGCGAAGCGGCACATAAAGTGGTATTGAGTGGCAGCAAGTTGCATTCAGTTGCATTGAAACTGTTGAGACTGTTTCGAGCGCTTATAACCTCTAGAGTTCCTGGGGTAATTTTGTTTGTTTACCACTTGGATGCCTTTGATAATGGTACATTCATGGTGCCTACTCAAGTAAGTGGAGTGGCTTACAAGCCGCTACAAGGATTTGGACGGGGGCTCATATCTCAGAACAACGCCTCACCGCCTCGATGCCTCAAGTTTCATGACGTGTTTGCGGCTGAACAAGGACGTGCCGTTCTAAATGTCAGTTCTGTAAAGCCCTTTGTCCAGCCCGACGCTAACTGGATAGTATCAGCACTGGACATGGTTTTTAACTATCAGTTGCCTTCTCCTACTTTCCGCTCCCAGTTTTGCCCTAGTCTTGCCAGTTCCCATCTCTGTCACAGATTTTTGCCAGGACTTCAGGAAGCAATCTCCGGGCCCTGGTCCTTTCTCCAAGCTTTAGAACATTTCGCACAGGAACGGTGGGCTGAGTTTGTTCGGCACGAGGCCGATGTCTCATCCCCCGAGGCTGCTGCACGTTTTCACCCAGATTTTGGTTGCACGGCACATATACATCCCAGGCAGGTTGGAGAAGTCCGATTTGGGCAAATCGTGACAGGAGCTGGTGTTTGCTGTTGTTGCTGTTCGCTGGGAAGACGGTGTGCCGATTGTTTCAGCAGGTGCAGCTTGTTCCCGTTTGACGCACCATTGGGCCATTGGGTGGTACACTGCTGCTGCTCTGGAGGTGCATAGCTTTAACCCCCTGGGGAAAGCTGCCAAATTTGGACCGAGATTTACGCGTCGCCGAGCAAAAAGAAACACGGAGCCGGGGCTGCCTTGCGTTCGTTCAGGGTGATTTCAGGTGACACCCGGGCCAACTCAACCTGGTTGGAGTTGATTTGGTCGATAGCTTTCCACATCTACTGCATGGCCCCGGGTTTGTTTAAAGGAAATTGTGTTGTTTCGTGGTCACATCCTTTATTAGTTGTTTGATTCCGCCCGTGACAAATCTGGCTGGCTTGTCGTTTTCTCGGAAGGACTTCTTGCGAGTTGAAAAGGACCCTTGTGCGGTTTCTGAAGGGAGTCCAGGAATCTTACAGTTTCAGGAGTCACCTGTTTTTGGGGAAAAACGCCGATTTCGGGGACCCAGTTATGCTTGGTTTTTCTGCTGCATCATTGGGCCCTTATACTCTGTTGTAATTTGGCAGTGAGTCTAAATCAGGTGCCCTTGAAATTCCAGATGGTTTGTACTGCCATATACCCCAGAGAATATTCGGCTTACATTCTGGCGATATGAGATTCGAGCGGCAAGCAACAAACTTTGACTTGGTTGCGACTATGCAGGGGCTATTATGGGCCATAAATTGCGCGCTTCTGGAACATCATCTTCAGACGTGTGTGTTCTGACGCGCACAGGCGACGTTTTCCCGAGAGCCAGCGGCTCGGCCGAGGTGCGCGCTCAGGCAGAGAAGGACGGGCTTCAGGCGGCGAAGAATCGGGACGAGGAGCGATCGCGAGCGATTCGCCGGTGCGGGGCCTTCTTTGCTGCGCGTCGTCCATAGAAACTCGTTCCTCTCACAGGAATTGAACACAAGTGTGTGCAGATGCATGGTTCAGATTCACCCAGAGGAAGGCAACTCATTGTTCCGAACACGGAGCTCATCAATCTGAAGTGGACTTGCTAGCATCAGGCACGTTTCTTCCGAATCGGTATTCTTGGTGTATGCTGTGAAGCAAATTGCACAATGAGCAGGCAATGGATGTCATGGGACTGTCCCTTGCGGGTCCGGTGTTTGCTTTCCCAGCAGGCATGCCATGTCCCTTCCAGAGGAGTAGCCTCATGCTTTGTGCTGAGGGGTGTGCTACAGCAGTCAGAGGCCCTTGTTGGTCCGCAGACGGATCTAGTGGATGTGGATGTGTTGTTGCCAGAAGCACAGCCAAATGGGGATGGTTGACCTTCCTTACGCAGTGGTCACCATCATAAATGGGTCTGGCTTTCTTTAGGAATCGGACTCTCCCAAATGGCCACCGGCTTCCGTTGCTTTCCCTTTAAAAACCACAAGGGGTACTCATCGAGCCTCAAAAAAAGACGAGCCACCCACCTTGGGCGTTTTTTGTTTTGTTTTTCCCCATCGAGCGTCAATAGAAGACGAGCCACCCAACTTTTTGTTGTTTTTTTCCCGGTCCGCAGGACGACCTCATCAAGCCCATCTTCGATTTGCCCGGGCCCTTGCGGCCCCCTGCGGCGCCGGCCAAGTACAAGGCCCGCCTCCGGTGAAATCGAAAAGATCCGCTCCGCGGTTGTGTTGGGTGCAATCACGTCAGGACCTTTTGGACACTCGTCGTTTTTGAGGATACCGAAGGTCCCCCTCTTTGGGGTGGTCAAGGAAACCAAAAAGCACAATTGGTTGGATCTCCCTGTTTTGAGACATACTCAAATGGCTTTCCAAACCTACAGCACGTGATCGACCTTTTGCTTGTTCACGGAGCTTGGAGCAAGAGCCAGTGACTTTCGTTTCATCCCCAAGTGGTGGATGGCTTTCACTCGGTGGTTGACTTGAGCTTTGAATCAGGATTATTTCATCCTTTGGGTTTATCTCTCAATTTTTGGGAGCCCCCTTGAAACGTGTGGTTTGCCTCACTTGCCCCTCACACTGACCCCAAAAAGCGTGAAACGCGACAAACAATCCTGGGCTCCTGCATTGCAAGGCTTGCTTGCCAAATGGGGCAGCCTCAGGCTTTCCACTTCAGGCGTAAACCTCAAGTTGTAACGAGCTCACCACACAACTTGCTGTCCCATGAAGGTGCCTTGTCCAATTAGATAGTTGTGCATCGGACGGTTCCGATTGAGCCCTGGGATTTGGGTTAGGTCGATTTCGCGGAAAACAGCTGCGCTGCAGCACCTGGATTGATTCCACCCCGTAGTCCCCTTGTTTGGCTTACCCGTTAAGCATCGTCAGCCCCAAAGGGGTCCAATTCTTGTTCCACCAGGGGCACTAGGCAGGCCGAATCTTGTGGGCTTGGCCTTCGAGTGCTCAATGCACTAAAGTACCAAAGGGGAAGCCACATATTCAGCATTTAAACCACCCCTAAACTTGGTGTATAGCTTGGGAAAGCTGCACAAATGATGACCAGCTCACCGATATGGGTGGCAAAAACGAGTGCTGTTGTGGCATGTAATCGCTCATGCGAGCGCATGAGCGACGATCAGCATTCATGTCATCACCTTCGCCCTCACCAAATCACTACATTATAACATGGAGATTGCTCACCGAAATCCCGTGAAAGACTCCATGAAGCTTGGCTCGCATCATGGCGTGTTTCTTAGAGCCTGCAGTCAAGGCGTAGAAAGCGGGGGGTGCACCCCGTTGGGAGGTCATACCCTGGCCCGACCAGAGAGGGTATGCGATTTGGACTTTTCACATCCAAGACCCAAGGGTACATGACAACAGCCTGGATGAAAACACACACACACACACAGAATTTGCGGGGTCAGCAAGAACTAATTTTGCACCAGCTCATTCTTGAAGCTCCTGTCAATTGTCCCCTCAAAGGAACATAATATGGATGTTTCTCCAAATTCGGGACCCTGCAGGTAGATGGTGTCCTTTTGGTTTCTTTTTGAAACCATCCAATGCAGGGTCCCCTGTTTTGACAAACATCCATATAAAAAGACGGTTCAGTTCGGGTTCATTCCCTGAGAAGCAGCAAGCAACTCGGGCGATTTGTCAGGCACTGACCAAGATTCGGCTGCGAGTCGCACCCAGCAGGCTGGGTTGAGCCAACTTCCAACATGACGGGGTTCGATGGATTCCTCCAAGTATTGCACATAGAATCAATTTCCTGGACTTCACCGTGGTTTTGTGTGAAAATCATTTGCAGTACTTAGGGAATCGACCATTCCTGCTTGAAACTTAGAATTGCCCGATGTTGTGAAAAACAACTGGTACATGCTACCTGCATATGGTATTTCCAAGATACAGCTCCAAATATCAATGGGCAATTTCCATGTGCTGGAGCTGATTCCTTGTGGTCCGGCAGTGGACGTTCCCTGCGCCCAGTAAAGAGTTTATACATCCAATCACGTTCATGTTCTATGTTGGATGGCGCGCTTAGTTGGACAATTGCTGCTGTTCGTGGGACGATGCGAAAAGACGCAGCGATTTCGCGCAGGCATATGTTGTGGGGTAACACTTGAATTGGCATACAGTTTCCGGCATACAAAATTGAGGATTGGCCACACTAAAAATAAGTTCTCGGATCTGAGAATGAGGCTTGGCAATTCTAAAGAAAGTATTGGAAATTGGCAACTCGCAGGGAACCCAAACAGCCGACTCGCCTACTAAAGAGGCCCCGCTGGACAGTTGGCACAGTTCAGGGGGAGCGTGGGGGTGGGGGCAACATTGAAGCAGACCCAACTCAACATTTACAACCCCGTTGAACAAACATCAGAAGAAACAAATGGAGAACCAAAAAAAACAAAAACACGTCACACACGGCTCTGGTGCTCCCAGTCCATGGTTTTGACATGTTAAAGAACCTGTCGCCGATTTGGCTTTGTCTCAAAGTAGGAAGCCGAACCGAACAGTCGCTGGGTTGCTTTTGGTTTGCCCTCGAAACGCTCCAAGTCCCTGAGGCTAGCCGACCTCACCACGCCTAGCTATGAGATCCCGGCAGGCCTTGGGGAAGGGTGGCAATTGAATCACCCTGAAACCTCAATGGCAACTCATTTGGACCTGCATATATGCGGCTGTACGCATATATGTCTCTACCCTATATTCTTGTATGAAGTTCCCCAAGAGAAAACAATACACAAATGTTGATGTATGTGCATATGTATGCCTCTATTCGAGAATATAATTGCCACATGAACACTCTGCAAAGGGTTTGCTTCCTTCGGGTAGGAGTTGAGAACCCTTTCGATTCACGTCTAGGGACTTTTATGGGGGGCTGGTTTTTAGAAGGAACCGGCACGAAAACCCTATTTGAATTGGTCCCCGACACGTACCCACATGTACTTGATGATCGCTTTGAACCCTCAGAACCCTTTGCTTCTTCTCAGATCCCCATAGCAGCCGCGCCATGGTGCTAGTGTGTGTGTGTGATTTGGCCTATAAACCACGGGGGGAATCAGGCTTCACGAAGGGTTCTGGACAACACAGGGCCCGAGACACGTGCAGGTAGGGAAATGTCTCAGGGATATCTAACTTTACAGTTCCCAGGCACGCTTTCTTCCACAAATTCACCACAATTCACCCACCAAAAGGGAAAGGGCCGATTTTTGGAAGAATGGAAGGTTAAATGCCGGTAACTCACCCCATGAGAACTACCCACAATTTGAAAGCCCGTTTTGAAAGCTCACTTTAGAGAGCCCAGCAAGGAGGTCTTGGAGACAAACTCTCTCCACGACCTCCAGTGCCCTGTTTTAAATTTCTCAGCAAGGCCCAATGCGAATCGACCTTTTGACCTTTAGTTTCCCCTTTTGGATGGCCCCACAAGGTGATCACCATGTATCTCCAGGTCCAAACTGGGCAAGTTTCGAGGGTACCCCTCGTTCTGTGGTTTTAAAGGAAAGCCAAAACGCAGAACCCGCATTTTTTGTGTGGGTCCTAAGCAAACCGAGCCACCCAATCATATTGTTTTACGGCCCATCCATCAAGACCGCCCGCAGGCCAGGAGTTCCATGTGATCGAATCACACAAGGACGAGGAGGACGAAAGCGTCCTGCACCTGCTCACCAGCCAGGCGTATGGAATCTTCGGTTTTGCCGGGTCCAAAGTGACACATCCTGAAAAAAGTGCCCTCGAGAA